GTGGCCCTTACCAGTTTCCCCCCAAAAATCATAGCAGCACTTTTGTGGAGTTGGATAATTCAATGAGTACATGGCAATGTATCTAAGGGTTCTTCAGATCTTTTACTTTTCAACTTCCAGCACTGATAACTAGAAAATTAAGCCGGTGACCTCCACTTTCTTTGAGACGACAGTTTTTGACGTTCAGAGAAAGAAAATGCACAGTAATTTCAAAACAAAAAATTCCCGGAGCGTATATAAAGTGGAAAATTTGCGCGCGGTGTAAATTTCCTTCTGTGGAATTGTTTTTAATTAATTTTCTTTCGGACCTTTTTTCTCAACTCAAATAGAATATTAAGGCAATAAAAGGAGGGGATAACCGGACTAGTTTTCTTGTAAAATACTCAGTCGAGATTTCAAAAATTCCCACGCGCGTTTTGGTGCTAATGAAAATTGTTTTACTCATGCGCTGTCTTGGCTACCGCTGACTTTTTCGTGTACACTTGCTTGCATCTAGTACGATTTTTCTTTCAGTCCTTGCAGAGGAGAGAATATTACACGCGTCCAATTTAACCGTTGTTGTTAAGTTTTTCCCGTTCAGTAAAACGTTGGCCCAGCTTGGGAGTCAAACAGACTAATTTTTGACTTTTACGTAACATATTGCCAAGTTCGAAAGTTTCTTTTCTAATTTCTTTCTTTGAGGCATTTGATGTCATACCACTTAAACATTTTTGTTAGCGTTAAACCCCCTAAAAAATAAAGAAGGCTTCTCTATGATGAGCATTATTGAGCATTTTTGGGGGACTACGGAGCATTTTAGTGGGAAAAATGGAGCATTGAGGTTGAGCATAGTGGGGAACAAAAGCATAATGTTCAAAGGCCTACACTTGATATTGTTGCTTATTAAACCGGGCTAATATTGAAAGAAAAGGAAACTCGCTTGTTTTAATTTCAACGCATTAATCCTCGAAATCGGTACAAATCGTCACAATTTAACCCTCGAATTCTCGCATACAATCAACCAAAACCTAACGCGAAGACATGCTAAACAAGCACATGTAAAACTAGTCACGTGATATATATTTATCACGCCATATAAAGAATAACAAAGTGTTCACGATAAAAATGTCAATCAAATGATTCTCACAAATATAGACATTTTACAGACTTCCTTGTATAACAATATATAATTAACAGCCCAGAGGGGAAACAAGCTAAATGGTGTGTGTGCTGTTTGATTTTGATTCCTCTTTGCTGACTGGAAATAGCTGAATACAATTTAGATGAACCAAAAGGAAATCAATGTTTAGCTTGACATGCTTTCTTCCTAAGTTATGTAAGGAAGGACATACTCCTACAGGAAAATAAGTGGCAAACGTTGACGATATTTGCATCGTCATGCCTCAAGCTTCTTTGATTAATGACAACTGAAACCGACTCTGAAATATGCTGAGCTAGGGTGATTGGTTCTGCACCACAATTCAGTATTGTTTGTAAATGGTCGGTCATATACGTGAAACACTATTGCCTTCCATACTTTTAATTAAAATACCACACTGTCCGTGCGTGCCCCAGTGCGATGCTGTGAGGACTGCTGAAGATAAATAACAAGGTTTCAAAAGGCAAACAAGAGGGTAGGCATGACAAAGGTTTCATTCACTTATATATTAGTAAAACTTAGCCTGAATTTTATCCGATTACTTCGAGTCGTTATTACTCCATCGGCAACGTCTGAGTCGACCGCGGTTAATACCGTCCAGTGACGTCACTACTCCTTTACTTTAATTCATGCAAAAAGTAAAACACTATTTTCAAGTGGCAAACCAAGAAATATCGTTTGGAAATGTCTACATGATACAGAACAGCTGACAAAATTGCTTTACTCTTTTCGATCGTAATTGACGTATAACGTTCAAACTATCAACTGCATGCCGTACTCTGAAGCGGTTGTAATTCAAAGTCGATCGTAATCACGCAATGAAATAAATACACAGACGAAACACTTTATAATTCAAAAACACAAAAATTTCTTTTAATTGAAAAGAAACTATTTGGTCCGTAACGAAGAGAAAAGAAAACAAGGAAACAAGAAAGAAAGGCTAACAGAATCATTACACTTGACGGTGAAAATTGCAAGAAGGGCGAATGACAACATGACATTGGTCTCAGAAACTTCGCATAAAGAAAATCATTGCAGAAACCACAAAGCGGCTCTAAATGAAAAACCTACCGATTCTTCCCAATGATTCTTCATTTGCAGTTAAATGTAGCAATTCAGTTTCGAAGACAAGGGCACTTTTGCTGTTTACGAGAAAGATTATCGAAATATTTGAACTCCACGCAAGAATTGAATGCCACCAATGCGATCAGCTGAATAGCAAGCAACAATCCCGCTAACATTTTTCATAATTATACATAATTATGCGAATGTTTAGACTTTCAACCAATCAAAATCACTACCCGGTTTTCGGGTAGTAGTGACGTCACTGGACGGCATTAACGGCTGGTCAATTCAGACGTTGCTGAGAGGAGAAAACGACTCGAAGCAATCGGATGAAATTCAGGCTAAGTAAAACGTCTATTGTCGTAAAGAAAATTTAAATTCACTTTGGGTTTAATTAGAAATCGCTGACTGTAAATAGTTAATTCTCTGTTAGGTTAGTTAGAGTTACACTGGTACGTCAATGTTTGTTGAGAACCGCTTTTGTCAGTAGTTGAATGCGGTAGTATTTCACTTAGGCTAGGTTTACCGTTCACACTGTACAGAATAGCTTTTGCGCCGCCACGATATTGGATAGGGCATCTGTTCACACACGAGAACGGTGATTTTGGCGCAATTATTGTGACGGAGCGAAACAGTTACTTCGCTATACGCCGAACTCTAAACTAAAGAGTCGGATAGCTGTTCATACTATAATTCCCGCCAAAAGTGTGTGTCCAAACACGGCACAATTCCACACCATTGTTCGTAACTTCCTATAAGCTAGTGGATAGCAGTGTTTCATAAGGCGTTAGGAAACGGGGTAAGACATAGGTATTAATTGCCTTATTGCAGACAAAGGATGCTAAAAGCACAAAAATTTAACCTCGCGATCGGAAGACGATGCACCGAAAACGTAAATGTTATATAGAATTTGATAAGCGGGGGAGCTTTTTTTTAAAAATTAAGACACCATAGGAAACCAGAGTTTGTGTTCTATATCTGCGATCTGATGTAGGACGAAGTTTACAAAAACATTTTTTCGCCTTTTCAAATGTACTAGGAGTATATATTTTTAACAACGTCACAGAAAGATTAATATTGCTGCCTTTACTTCCGTGTTACAATTGCCCAGACGTTAAGCGTGTTCAAGTTACTATCACCCGGCTTGGTCTTATTTCGCATTTCCTGACTAGAAACTGGGAATGACCTAATTACTCAAATGCAAAAGTGAGTTAATGTTTCTTATTTGTGGAATCGTAACTAAGGCCGCGAACGTAGTCTTAAATATTCTTTTGTTGTTCTCAAGACACTGGACTTAGTATTGATTGCAGTTCGCCCTTCACTATATTGTTTGATGAGTGATTGATGACTTTATAGATGGTTAACTTCAAAGTTGACCAAAGAAAAGTAGCTTTTGGACTTGGTTATTGCTCAAGCATGTAAACATGACGTTGCAGCTTTTTAGGAGGTTAAAAGAAGAGCCACTGGACTGAATATAAAACAGTCTTTTTGAAGATAAATTTTCTAGTTTACATTTAGGTGTTTCCAAATATTGCCGACGTTCTGAATGTCGATAACGCTTCAACGGATAGCAGACTTAATTTAATCAACAGATGATAAAAAATATTACCATTAGTGAACCGTAAAGAAGGAAATAGGCACCCGGGCCGGGACTTTTTTGATCGGAGACATCCACTCGTATGTAACATTCTTGGACTTCTAACTGCCTATTAATGTAACTTATTTCCATTTAAAGGATATTGGTGACTCGACTGGGCAAATTACCATGTCAGAAGAAGAAATATTTAGCATTGACCTGGTGGAAGCGGCCATCGCCCAAAGAAAGTTCTTAAAGGGACAGTGTCCCGATTATGCGCACGCGCGAGTGTCATCTGTTTTTTCTTCAAAAGACAATAGAACTGTCAAATTGACTTGACAAGATTTCCTTCCGGACCGCACCGCCGACAGAGATTTGTTGTTTATATTCTCAAGTAATATTTTAGACTTTCGAAGAAGTCTTTCGTCTTACATAAAAATTTGGCTCGCGGTTCGAAGACTCATCGCGATTTTATCGCTAGCTGGGCCGCCTAGCGACCCGAAAATCGCGTTCCGCTGGCTTTAAAAACATATTTTCTAATTTGAAACTCGCGTCAGAGGTCAGTCGCTCCAAGTCCAGTAATATCTGCCTGATTTGCTCGCGTTCTAGCCTCAAACGTTTGAGCGACATAAATAAAAATGCAATCTCAACGTTATGAATCATCACAAAGGTTAGTCAAGAATGATATTATGATTCATGTCACTAGTTTTTCAAAACGTGTAGCGCCTGTTTGTTCGATTCTGTCGGCCGTAGGGAGATTCATTTAACAAAACATTCTGCTTCACGAAGCTCCCCTCCACAAGATCTCCTCAGTCACATCAATGTCTCAACGGTTTCTTTCTTACAGTCTTTATTGTTGCTGTTTCATTTTTGCGTATTCCTTTCACAATTATCTGAGCTTGTATGGAAGCTAGCAGAAGAAATAAGCCTTCAATAGACATCAAAGCGCTTCCAATCTTTTGGTCCTCCGGCCAACGGCAATAAAAGGAACGCCAAAAAATCCAGATTTTGCCCAAATAGAAACTTAACAGGAACAATATATCATTGATCTATAATCCTGAGAAGTTTTAGTGTCGTATTGAACCCGGCCAAGCGCGATGCAAACGCATTTTTCAAGATTCTCTTTCTCTCCTCGCATCTTTTGATTTCGCGACATCCTGTCCAAAAATCAAAGTTTGGTGCATGCGCAGTAACGGGATACTGTTCCTTTAAAGCTTGTAGATGAACATCCGTGCCTTTATGTTGGCCCACATGTTCAAAATGCTCTCAGAAGGTATGACTGAGAGTTATGCAATGGCGAAGCTAAGAACAAATGGGAGGATAGTTTTCTTCTTCTTCTTCCTATCTTATTTATACCGTAACTTAAGAAACTCTTGAAATATATCTTGAGAGGCTGGAATTTGAGAAAAGGAGGATGAAATTGTAAGGGATGAGGCAAGATTTTACGGGGCGGAATTTCGTTAATTTTAAAAGACCAATTTAATATTTGGGATTAGAGAGAGGAGACTCCATCTTCCTCCAGAATTTCCAACGGCAAGTTATGCCGGGCGAAGAACTTTGTAGTTAAAATAGATGAAGTAAAAACCTCTCAGTACGCGTGACTTGAAAACATAGCGATAGGGTAGGACATGATTGCAGACGGCACATTTGCCTCACTTTAGATATGCATTCTAACAAAAACTGGGTCAATATGCGTCCCAAATTGATGGGGTTATTTCTTTCAAGTAGTTTTTTACAGGGGCTATTTTCATTTTGGGTTTAGATATGAAGTCTTCTGGCTTCCTCTTCTCCCAGTCCCCAAATGTACCATTTGTTGCTCCCCGTTTGCGACATTGCTTGGGTTTGGCACGTTCATATTTAGATATGAAGTCTTTCACCCCAAATCTTTGTTGCGCTTATGGAAGGGATTGCAACGTGATTGTTTCAACCTTGGTGGACCATAAAACCATTGTTGGAGGAGAGCGCGAGGCTGGACTTCAAAGGGCTAAGCTCTTATGGCACCAACTGTACGGCAATGAGCCTTTCGAAGTTGACCTGACAGCCCCTGTTGGTAACGAGATGCCTCATGTGTCAAGAATCCAATATGATATAGTGGCTGCATGCAGTCGTCAGAGGGTCATTAATTATAAGGTTTCCTTACCACATTATGGGGACGAAACGTTTCTTAGAGATGCACTTATACGATATAAACATCATTTGAGGCTCAAACAACAAAATCTGAATACGTTTTTGGTTCCGTGTTGCGACTTTGACCTTATATTGCATGCGCACCAAGTTCATCCGCTGGCCTATAGGACGGACACCATGAAAATCCTGGGAAGAGTCCTAAACTATGATGATGATTCTGTAAACGATCGTCCACCAGGTTCTAAACTTGTAACGTCTGCGAAAGCTGTAGTAAAGATATGGAAGGATTTTGGCATGAATTCTGGGACGAATGGAGCCATGTTTCGAGGGGAACCTCCTTTGAACATTGCTGAAAATCGTAACCCCATCGATTATTCCTCAATGGCAAAAATAAGATTTACATACTTTGTGGATGTTTGCGAAGTAGAGATTCATGGTCTTCCAAAGCCGAAATTATACTTAGTCCAAATAAGTTTGCGTGGAAGTTTTCGTGCTGGTGGAAAACAGTCAAGCTATAAAGTTAAGGGGCCAGTTGCTAATTTTCACGGAAGCACGTTTGAGTTTGATACAAGCAGAAGTAATTTTATCCAGGTAAAGAGCCTTTTTCCTTCTTAGATATTTATAATTAATTAAGCAAACATCCATCTCCAAAGTAACCAGTAAGAGTATGTCCTTTCAAATATTTATGAATGAATAAGACTTCGTTTGAATAAAAGTGACAGTGTTTTTTCCCAGACCGAATGACATCCAGACATCGAGAGCTCGTCAAAATTTATTGATTCCGTAAAAACGTACAGACTAAGATACCTTTCACTCACAAGTACGGAAGAGACATAGCACTAAAGTGGTAACCACCATAGTCAACCGTTTGCATGAGGCCAAGGTTCCCCTTTTCTTTTGTTAGCTACATGAATGAAAAAGGTTTTAATCTATGCAAATTAAATTAATTGAACGTCAGGCATTAATGGCTCAATCAATTCCAAGTAGGCCTATGATGGTTAACAGTTAATAAATTTTCATTTAACGAACTTTATCACTCCCTACAGGTAGAGGCAAGTTTTTGCCGTCGATGTCGAGACTCGATGTCTTGTCTGAAGCGCTCTCCTGATCCCGTCAGAACGTGGTTTAATATTCCTTGTAATCTTGACGGCATCCTGAGAGAATTCGTCAAAACTGACGTAAAGAAACATGAATTTTGGTTTGATGACCAAACCTCTATTAGACTTACTGTCGTCACTCATCCACCTTCACATTTGCCCGGGCGGTTTGCGCACTGCGATCAAGAAGGCGAGGAGTCTGAGGAGTGAACATGTTGCAGGAAGCGACTGTGGGGACGAATATTCGTTAAATACGCTGTAGAAATCAGCTAAGTATTTGCCCTTTATTTTCTTTCAAAGATGTCTGTAAAAACGGAGGCTATCGAATTATCGGGGGAAAACAGTGTCATTCCTTTAATAAGTGTATTTTGTTCGAAATCACTCTCATGCGGTCGGTGAATCGAAGCTTTATTGCTGCTTTGTTTGGGTTTGCTTAGAGTCAATAGCACTAGGGTTTGCAATTGTCAAGCTTCGAATGCTTTGCCAGCCATATAAACCATAATACACTCAAACCAACCGGTTTGCGAAGCCACGTAGGGTAGACAGTACCGACATGAAGCTTGTTGAAGCAGCAGGGTATATTGCCTTTACTTTCAGAGACGGCGATGATCGTGAATTTGGTGGGTGTGGTGGATGCCGGAGGTGGTTGCAATACGTGTGGAAGCAGCGGTTGTGGTGATGACGGAGGCGGGGGCGACGGAGATGGCGGCGGTGACAGAGATGGCGGATGCGGGGGTTGTGGTGATTAAATCTCAAAAGGTTTTAGGCTTTGTGTTTTAAATCCAATAAATACACATGGAAATTCCTCTCTGAAAGATGTTCGGTGAGACTTAAGGGGGCAATTCGGGCAAAAGCCTCACTAATTAAGAGGCAATTATCGAAAGATCGTTTCTTAGGAGAAAACGTATGTCTTTCGTACCTCTTCAGCTAATACTTCTGATACAATTTCAAAATTCTTTCTTTCAAGTATTTGACAAATAATTTCTATTTATTGTCGAATATAGACAATATTACGCGGGTTCGTATTCATGTTTTGCAGCAAAAAGCATATTTGCAATTACGTTTGTGTAATCTTGGATTGAAATGAGGCCGTAACCAAGAATGAAATCTAGGAGAGACGAATCTCGACACAAAGAAGGAGTTTAAAAGGTTGATAAAAACATAGCTTTCATACTTCCTTATTTAGTACCCCTACAATAAGGTAAACAAAGAATTTTGCCCAGCAAAAGACATATATTAAAAGCATTATTATACAATGCACTAAATATCTGCTTTCTCATTGGCAAATAGCCTACAATTAATTTGAAACTCGGCGCAACCTACAGATACGTTAGTTATCTCTGTGCTAGCAGATAGCTGACTTGTCAAGTTGCGCGCAAAATTTCCAAGAGCAATCAAACTATTTAACCTATTCCCCTGCTACAAACTGAACTGGTTTACATAACACTCGTGCCTCTCCACAAGGGTTTCCTCTCTACAACGGTCATTTACAGCTTTTTCGAAAAAGGTTGTCGGAAAATTGAGCAACCGACATCCCCGAAAGGTAATACTTAAGTGGACTGTGATCAATAGAGTGTTCCTGACCTTGTAGCTGCCGTACCTACTTTTGTTGTTTTGTTTTAGAACTTGCAAACATACCTCCATGGCCTGCACTGTAATTTTCAGGGAGTTATAATAACTCCTCTAGTGGGGCTAATTTAACTCCTGACAGTGGAGTTATTTTTCGTGGAGTTATTTTAACTCCAAAAAGGAGTTTAAAGAACTCTTTTTCAGGAGTAAAAGTGACCCCAGATATTGAGGAGTTAAAATAACCCCAAAAAAGGAGTTATCCTGTACCTAAAATTTTTACTCCACTTTCAGAGTCAAATTAACTCCAAAAAGAGTAAAAACAACCCCTGTAAGGAGTACAAGTAACCCCATTTCGGAGTAATTTTAACTCCAAGACTGGGAGTAAAAAGAACTCTTTTTCAGGAGTAAAAATGACCCCAAATTCGGAGTTAAATTAGGAGTTAAAATAACCCCAAAAAAGGGGTTATCCTGTACCTAAAATTTTTACTCCATTTTTGGAGTTATAATAACTCCCTAAAAATTACGGTGTGCCGTGCTATTCTTCCAAATTTACTTTAAGAACAGTAAATTCGAAACCACCTACAATGCCTTTCGGGACTTTCCTTTGCACTTTTTCCGCCAACTTTTCTCGAAATTGCTTTATACCTCCGTCCTCAAGATGGTTCTTGTCGAGAGGTTCAACTGTATTTCTTTGCGCTGCCCTCAACCACCCGTGCCAATTTCTAAGTGAAGCGTACTCCTCCAATCGACAGGTTAACTGGAGCATGGCCGACTATTAGTGCTTAATTTAACTTGCTTCGTTGCTTATTGTCATGATAAAAAGAAAAAATGTCAGTTCGTTTGCAAGGGGGGATGGAAGGTGGTGGGGCTTTTGACATTTTGGGGGGAGGGGGCCGGGAGTGTAGTACATAATAGAGAGTCTCCAGATATTGGATCTCCAGAGGTTGACATCTCTGCAACATTTACCCCTTCCGAAATTATCCAGTCTCGGAAGACTGTTACAAGTGTGTTGGTTAACGATCGTTCTCGTGTTGGTAGACGAAATCTACAAGCCTGGACAATTTTGCATGAATTAATTACATGTACATTTCTTCATATTTGACTCTGGTAGAGATACTATAGGAAGTATTGTACATTGCGGATAAAAATGAATACTACCACTAAAATAGTGGTAACAAGGGGTGATTATTTTCTAGTTATATTAAATGCAGAAAGGCTAAAAGTAGCATATTACTTTTTACGTTGTTGTTAAAATACCTGCAAAGGGAGCTGGATCGAGGTTGATGGAGGGAAACAATTTTAGACGCATATATAGATTACTTTTCTGGGTAATTTTTAATTCTCAGTTAATTAAATATGCAAAACAAACAATGTTCCTCGATTCAATTTTTTAAGCGAGAGATATAAACCACAAAGCGTGTCGCAAGGAAACTTTAATGTTGCTTAATTCTTCCTGCGACATCCTATGATAAATGTCAAAGAAGAGAATTAAATGGGTTGTTCTTAAAGCTAAGCAAAGGTTACAATAGTTAGTTTAGTAAATAAACTTTATGGTACATGAACCTTAATTATTTGTAAGCCAGGCTCTATATGAATATGACTGAGACTGTAAAAGTTTAGTCATTTGTACTTCTTCCCAATAATGCATGTAACTTTGTTGCAACTTGTAATACAAAACCTGTTGCACTTTTCAGTAATAATGAAGAGTCCAACTAAGGGAAAATGTTGTCATAGGAGTAACAGCACAAGCACCTATCAATCAAACGAAGTTTCTGTGCCAACAAGGTCTTAGCCTGTACCATGCTCTCGGTCAGTGTAGACGAGAAAAGGGAGGGAGCCGTGAAATAGTACCCGATCGAAAACGGTCCACTACTCCGTCTCTCCTCACCCCTCAGCGGTTTTCGTCGATCCACTTCTTCCTCTTTATCTTCGACCCTGAAACAGGCTACCTTTCACGTGTTTATGAATCAAGTTAAAATTGGCGAAATAGAAAAATTGTCCAACTGGAACGAATTGGTAGTTTTCTTGTTATTTTTTGTTATCATTCCCAATAATACCTGTAACTTATTTTCGGATCATATACGTTTCTGGGAAACGGTCCACCTACCCCTCCCCTAAGGCAACAATTTTCCCTAAGTAAGAAGTAAGTGTTGATGTTGGCTTTGGGGGGAGGTAGGTGTGCAGTTTTCCCAGAAACGTAAAATGATCAGTTGAATCTAGGTATTTTAACATTTTCAAAAATCTCAACCTTATCGGCCCTAATAATTGTCAATAAAAATGTCTACAATCGGCGACAAAATGCGTTGAAACACTTCGTCTAAAATTGGGCTTTTTTACGTTTTACTAACTTCAAAAGGAGGAAACACAGCTTTTCCTCCCCCATCCCCTGGAAGTTTGAGCTACCTATAGAAAACAACAAACACCCCAACTTTGAATGGAGGGGACAGTGGAGGGGTGTGGATTATTTTGTTCTCTGAAGTTACCCTATTTGAGTACAATTTTGTCGCCGATTGTAGGTTTGCAAACGGTAGTTAACCTGGTGATGTGATGACGTCATAAGTTATACAGCTGTAAATGCATGAGTTCAGTCAGTTCATAACACGTTTTGAGCAAAAGTGAGGGCTGTTCGAATCCTTGTCCTTCAAAAACTGCAAAATAGTTAAATTCCATCTCTATTTTTTGTGGAATCCAAGATGGCTATCATCGTTCCATTGTCTCTTCTATCATAGATCAGAGAACGAACGAGAAAAAATGTGTAAAACCGTTCACCTACTGTAGGCCACTGTTTTTACTCCACTTGATATTGCGGCTTATTAAACCGCGCTAATATTGACATTTTACAGACTTCTTGTATAACAATATAACTGTCCAGAGAGGAAACAAGCTAAATGGTGTGTTTGCTGTTAGATTTTGATTCCTGTTTGCTGACTGGAAATAGCTGAATATGATTGAGATGAACCAAATGGAAATCAATGTTTGGCTTGACATTCTTCCTAATTAAAGTAAGGAAGGACATAATCGTACAGGAAAATAAGTGGCAAACGTTGTCGATATTTGCATCGTCATGCTTCAAGCTTCCTTGATTAATGACAACTAAAACCGACACTGAAACATGCTGAGCTAGGGTAATTGGTTCTGCACCACAATTCAGTGTTGTTTGTAAATGGTCGGTCATACGTGAAACACTTTATTGGTCCAAAATTAATACCACACTGCCAGTCCGTCTCCCGATGCGATGTTGTGAGGACTGTTTGAAGATAAACAACAAGGTTTCAAAAGGCAAGCAGAAGTATGGTAGGCAAGACAACGTATAATTCACTTAAATATTAGTAAAACGTACATTGCCTTAAAGAAAATTGATATTCACTTTGGGTTTAATTAGAAATCGCTGATTGTAAATAGTTAATTTTCAGTTAGGTTAGTTAGAGTTACACTGGTAAGTCAATGTTCGTTGAGAACCCGCCTTGTCAGTAGTTGAATGCGATAGTCTTTTACTTAGGCTAGGTTTACCGTTCACTCTACACCGAATAGCTTTTGCGCCGCCACGTATCATACTGGATAGGTGGAGGATGGGGCTTTTGTTCACACACAAGACCGGTGATTTCGGCGCGATTTTTGTAACACTGTGCGAAACTGTGCTACGCCAATCTCTAAAGTTAATTCCCGCCAACCGTTTGTGTCCAATCACGGTGCAATTCCGCAGCGTTGTTCGTAAATCTTTGAGCACAGTCTCAGCATTTTTCGAGTTGTTTCCATTAAGCACTGTTGTTTGGAAGTTTTGTAACTTCCTCTAAGTTAGTGGATAGCAGGGTTTCATAAGGCAATAGGAAATAGCCAAGGGTAATTGCCTTATTGCAGACAGGGATGCTTAAAGCACATGAAATTTAACCTCACGATCGGAAGACGATGCCCTGGTGCAAATGTAAATGATAGAATTTGATAAGCGCTGGAGCGTTTTTTAAATTAAGACACCGTAGAAAGCCGGAGTTTGTGTTCTATATCTGTGATCTGATGGAGGACGAATTTTTTTTCATCTTTTCAAATGTATTAGGAGTATATTATTTTACAATGTCCCAGAAAGATTAATATTGCCGCCTTTACTTCCATGTTAAAGTCGCCCATATGTTAAACGTGTTCAAGTTACTATCATCCGGCTTGGTTTCATTTCGTATTTATTAATTTCCGGACAAGAAACAGGGAATGGCTAATCAGTCAAATTAACAAATAGATTCCATGTTGCCGTGCGTCCGTTCAATAGTAGATCACAGATGACGTCAAAATGTGGTAAAAACAATGAAGCGGCTCGTGTGTGTCACTGATGTTTTTACCACATTTTGACGTCCTCTGAGATCTATTACTGAACAGACGCACGGCAACATGGAATCTATTTGTTTTATACAATGATCAGAAAAGAAAAAGACCGCCTTACACATACCTGCCTCGGACCGCTTGACTGTTCGAGGATTTGTGCTAGTTTAGGCATTTTTTAAGTCCCAAGCGCTCGTCTCTGTTTCTCTTTTTTTTTCTTTATCTTAATTGTATACAGTTTCTTCGAAACGTTTTTCAACGTCCTTCCTTGCTCAAAGCCGAATAATGGCAAAAACATTTTGCAAAACGGCGAGTCTCCCATAGCGATGAGCGATTTCTTATAGTTTAGGCATTCTAAGTAGTCAAGTGCTCTTTTTGTCCCCGTTTCTCCATTTTTCTTTTCTGTAAATAGCTCCTGTTGAACATTTTTCGAGGATTTCACTTGCTTTAATCCGAAATAATCTCACAAACATATTCAAAACTGTGCGCCATGTTGAACAAAACAAACTAAGAAAACAAGTTTCGCGTGACGTCATCCATGTATATGTACTCTGATAGATCATTGGCGACGACCAATCACAGCGCGCGTAGCATTCACATCATTGTATAATGCAAAAGTCAGCTAATGTTTCTTGCTTTTGGAATCGTAACAAAGGCCGTAAATGTAGTCTTAAATATTCTTTTAAAGTTCTCAAGACACTGGACTTTAATATTGATTACAGTTTGCCCTTCGCTATATTCTTTGATGAGTGATTGATAACTTCATAGCTGGTTAACTTCAAACTTGACTTTGTAAAAGAAAAGAAGCTGTTGGACGGACTTGGTTACTGCTCAAGCATGTAAACATGATGTTGCAGTTATATAGGAGGTTAAAAGAAGAGTCACTGGACTGAATATAAAGCAGCTTTTTTAAGATAAATTTCTAGTTAAAAAGTGTTTCCAAATATTGCCGACGTTACGAATGTTTATAACGGTTCAACGGATAGCAGGCTTAAATCAAATGATAAACATTATAATTAATCGTATGATAAAAGTTATTAAACCATGAGGAAGGAAATAGGCACGGACACTGCATTTTACTTCGTAAAAGCCTTTTCAGCACCTCTCAGGGCAGTAGAGACTTGATGTCAGATAGAGTCGTTTACGTGATCTGTAGATACGGAAATTGATTGGAGACAGCCAATAGTATGTAATATTCTTGGACTTCTAACTGCTTATTAATGTAACTTTTTCCCATTTAAAGGATATTGGTGACTCGAGCCGACAAACAACCATGTCAGAAGAAGAAATATTTAGCATCGACCTGGTGGAGGCGGCCATCGCCCAAAGAAACTTCTTAAAGCTTGTAGATGAACATCCGTGCTTGTATGTTGGCCAACATGTTCAAAATGCTCTCAGAAGGTATGACTGAGAGTGATAGTGAAGCGAAATTCATAGAAGGATAGTTTTCTTTTTCTTCTTCCTATCTTATTTATACTGTAACTTTAGAAACTCTTGAAGAATATTTTGAGAGGCTGGCATCTGAGAAAAGGACGATGAAATTGAAAGGGATAAGGCAAGATTTTACAGGGCAGAATTTCGTTAATTTTAAAAGACCAATTTAATATTAACTCCCGTCAAAGCAAAATTGGAGGAACTGTCCAAACAAAATAATATTGCCTGTACAATTTCTTGGCACGCGCTTAGCAAAAAACGCTAATAGTCTGTTACAAATCAGATATTACAGATAATAAGTAAAAAGCAAAGAAAAAGAAAAGAAGAAATATTTGTAATAAGGTCAAAAGCAAGAAAAAAACATTGTTTTTTGCTTGAGGTTTTAGTAATATAAATTTAATATAGATTTACACGGAACTAGAACTCAAAATATCGCGACCTACTCGCTAGAGGGCCATGCGCTTAAATCCATCAGCTAAATAAATTGTTACCGCATAGGTTTTCGAAACGTCAGTCACTGTCAACAACAGTCCTATTCAGTAATACGTTCACCCGGACGATCATACTCCACCTGCTGAATCACGTTTCAGGGAAACTGCTCACCTACCCCTCCCCTAAGCCAACATTTTGCCCTAAGGGAGAAGTAAGTGTTAATGTTGGCTTATGGGAGCTTATGGGAAGGGCTTTCTTTCCCTAGGGACAAAGTAAACTGTTCGTGATAAAGAGGTTTCCGTTAACCGGGGTTTCACTGTATTGAATCATGCACTTTTAAATCTAGGTCAGTTTGAACGTTTGCACGGCCCTTTCTCTTGCCACCTGCCTTCATGGGGTTATTCTTTTCAAGTAGTTTTTTACAGGGTCTTTTCCATTTTCGGTTTAGATATGAAGTCTTCTGGCTTCCACTAATCGCTGAGTTCCCAGATGCAACAGTTGCTGCTCCTCTTGACATCGCTTGGGTTTGGCACGTGCATATGCTTTCACCTCTCGCTTATGAAAGGGATTGCAACGAGATTGTCTCAACATTGGTGGACCATAAAATCTTTGTAGGAGAAGAGCGTGAAGCTGGACTTCAAAAGGCGAAGCTCCTATGGCACCAACTGTACGGCAGTGAGCCTTTTGAAGTTGACCTGACAGCCCCTATCGGTAACGAGATGCCTCGTGTGTCAAGAATCCAATATGATATCGTGGCTGCATGCAGTCGTCAAAGGGTCTTCAATTATCAGGTTTTCTTACCACATTATGGGGACGAAACGTTTCTCAGAGATGCACTTGAACGATACAAACAACATCTGAGATTCAAACAACAACATCCAAATACATTTCTGGTCCCGTGTTACGACTTTGACCTTATCTGGCATGTGCACCAAGTCCATCCGCTGGCCTACAGGACGGACACCATGAAAATCCTGGGAAGAGTCCTGAACCATGATGATTCTGTAAACGATCGTCGACCAGGTTCTAAACTTGTAAACTCAGCGAAAGCTACAATAAAGATATGGAAGGATTATGGCTTGGATTTTGAGAAGAATGGAGCCATGTTTCGAGGGGAACCTCCTTTGAACATTGCTGAAAATCCTAATCCCATCGATTATTCTTCGATGGCGCAAAGATTTAAATGCTTAGTGGATGTCAAAGAAGTAGAGATTCAAGGTCTTCCAAAGCCGAAGTTATACTTAGTCAAAATAAGTTTCCGCAGTAGCCTTGGTGTAGGTGGAAGACAGATAAGACAAGAAACTAAGGGACCAGCTGCTTCTTTTCACGAAAGTTCCGGCCGACCTCTAACAACATTCGAGTTTAATAATACAAGGAAAAGTAATTTTATTCTGGTGAATAGCTTTTTTTCCCATCTTAAAGATTTATAATGTAATATAAAGCAAAATTCCTTCTCCAGAGTACCCAGAGAGGATGTGACCCTCTACCTTTTTATGGAGAAGGCATCGTTTGAACAATAGGAAGGGTGTTATTTTTTTTACGCAATTACAGCAAGATATCGAGATCTTGTCCAAATGTAACACAGGCAAAGACAACTTTCACTCACAAGTATGAAAAGGACGTAGCACCAAAATGGTCGCCGCCATAGTCAATCGTTTGCTTGAGTGTTCTCTTTTCTTTCGCAACGTGAATACAATCTATGCTGCAAACAAAAGTTTTTAAGATGGAATCTACCAGGAAATTGAGTAATTTTAATTTTCAGTGGGCAAAAACCTTGTACCAGAATAATTTAAAGCATATTCCATTCTTTTTTACATTTGTCAAGGGCTAAAGATGTAATTAGTCATCTGTAATAACACCAAAGAAAATCTCTTAAGGGAGACCGAGAAAAAGAAGGTCAAATTTCACAAAATTACATCTTACAAATGAAATTTTCAGAATTTTACCTGTGTTTTCACCTTAATTATTGTGAAATTTGACATTCATTTTCGCGGGCTCCCATGAGAAATAGTCTTTGGTGTTATTAATGATTTGGATATGTGTCGGATCCACTTGAAGAAGAATCACTTACCAGTTTTTGCACTACATCAGGTTTATTCTGTATACTGTACTTTTTAGATTACATACGTCTTAAACACTGAATACTCCGAGCGAGCGGGAGCGTCAAAAAAACCTGGTACATTTTTGCTCTCTCCTTCCTGTCTTATACCGCGTGGTCGTTTAAATAACCTAAAATATCCTCGAGGGACTAAATCAACACTATATAATATACGCGGTATGGACGGAATGCAAAACAATTAAAGATGACTAAGTACTTCTTTAGGCCTTGAAAATGTAAAAAAAAAAAGAGCAATATTATTTAAATTATTTTGGTACAAGGTTTTTGTCCACTGAAAGTTAAAATTACTCAATTTCCTGGTGGATTCCGTTTCAAAAACTTGCGTTATTAACTCTTTAAGTCCCAAGAGTGACCAACATCAATTTTCTCCTAACAATGTCAAATACATACTCAAAAGAAAAGCTTATGAGAATTAAATAAAATGATCACTAAAGGGAAAATGCTTTGATCTTTTAACAAATTCTCTCAACTTATTCTATGAGAATTGTATGAAGGGCAGTCTTGAGAATTTGCTGGTGGATCTTGGGGCTTAAAGGGTTAAACGTCAGACATAAATGACTCAGTCAATTCCAAGTGGGCCTATAATCGATAACAGTTAACAAATTCTCACTTCACGATCTTTATAACTCTCCACAGGTAGACGCAAGTTTTTGCCGTCGACGTCGAGACTTTATTTTCTGCCGCAATCGTTCAACTGATCAAGTCATAAGAAACTTTTTTAGTATTCCTTGTGATCTCGACGACATCCCGAGGGAGTTCGTCGAAACTCCTGAAGTAAAGAAACATGAATTTTGGTTCGATGATCAAACCTCTATTAGAATTACTACCGTGACTCATCCACCTTCGCCTTTACCCGGTTACCACTTTTTTACGGTGAAACCACGAGGAACCGGCTTTCACTCTTTCCGTGACCCGTCTAAGATTTCAAGATCTTTGACGTTATTCCTCCCTCCAGCTTCACTGACTCGTTTACCAGAAGCCTCTTGTGAAACGTCAACGGGTCAGGTATTGTACGGGCTCGACCAAGAAGCGTTTACTTACCGTGTTATGCATTCCGTGGCCTTGCAGCTTTCTTCAGTTGAGGTTATTAACAATGATGGAAACGTTGTAAGTACAGCCCATCTCATCCAAAGCCACGTACTTCCAAGGCAATTGCAAGTCAGCAACAAGGAGGCAAATTGCACTTTAAATGAAGGAGAAAGGGCTTTCTTGGTAAGAGGAAGCAAAGACTGGGGAATATGCATTGGAAAATGGGAGGGTTACGTCAGAGGTGTTCCTGCTGTGGCTCCAAGTAAACGAAGCAGATGGGGGACCCGTGGCATACCCGGCAATCCAGGTTATCTTAAAATCAAGTTCTTTTCTCTTGTGGAGACGAACGAATGGATAACATCATACAAAAACAACATGACGAACTTTGAGATTTATTTCCCTACTGGCACGTGCACAGTAGACCTGCGAACGGGCGAGATTTCATTTCCAGCAAGAGTAGATCATGTACCAGAGTCAATAGCGCTAGGGTTTGTAATTGCCATGCTTCACCTCATTTGCCAGCCATTTCAACCCACAGCTCGATACAACAGTATCTCTCTGAATTTAAGCAAACCACGTAGGATAGACAATGAAAACATGAAGCTTGTTGTAGCAGCCGGGTACTATGCTTCTACTATCAGAGACTACACAAGTGGTGACTGTAGTGGATGTGGTGGATGCGGTGGCTGTGGTGCGTGCGGAAGCAGCGGTTGTGGGGGCGACGGAGGGGGAGGTGATGGAGATGGCGATGATGACGGAGGTTACAGCGGTGGTGGTAGCGGTGGCAGCGGTGGTGGTAGCGGTGGCAGCGGTGGTGGTAGCGGTGGTGGTAGCGGTGGTGGAAGCGGAGGATGTTCAGGATGCTCAGGATGCTCTATGGGTTCTTGATAAGTAAAGATCATCATAAAATAAACGGTAACATGAAATGGGAAAGAGACCTCCTATCTGAAATATGGCTTTTGCTCATATTTTCAGTCAGATCGTCTTTACGAGACTACAGACGATAGCAGTTCAACTTTGGAAGCGTTATGACAAATTTTAAGATAAAGGGGCTTATTTCCGGTTGACGCGCGTCGTTCAAAAACGCCATTGCTTAGTCGTCCTCGTCTTAGGGTTGATTTCCAGTGTGACGTAATTTTTACGTGCGTAACGTGCGAAAAATTCACGTTCGCAAATAAAATAGAGGCAATGTATGAAAGGTTGCCCGTATAAAGCGTCAAAAGTAGAACCTCGCTAAACTTCACGTTTAAACTCAACACTTTATATCTAGCCTCTATTCTATTTACGTGCTTAAGATTTACATGCGTCGCTAAAAAGGCGTCAGTGGAAATCAACCATTAGAATCTAAAGGTCTCATTATCAAATACTCACATGCGTCTTTTCTTATTTAACGTTTTTATACTAGTTTCTAGAATCGTCTTAAGACGAGTTTAACGTCCCTAGCATAAAATAGGCCATAGCTCTCATCCGTAGAGGAGCAATTCTTACGGTTGAAGGAGAAGATACTTACAGTTAACTGTAAACACAGGTACTCGCAATACAGCATGTGTGGGTTGCTTTATCGATATCGGTTAAGTAATAGCTTAGCAATGAGCCACCCTAATTAGCTATATAGCATGTTAAGGTTGCAGGACAAAAAAAAGGGACAAGATGGTATCGCGTGAAGTATATTTTCGCAAACAGAGAACGTCAGTTTAAACTAAAACCCACGTTAACGTCCAGGGTTGAATGGAATGAGGTTCGAATCTGCCTTGTATTCAGGCGCCTAAAAGAACGTGTAAAAGGTTTCACTGAAAGCAAAGAACCATGGTAAAATCAGGAGCAACCGGAAAAAAAAATAAGGTTGCGCGTCCGCTTCTTCGCTTGCAATAACCCAGGAGGAAACAGATCTGGAAGTCCATCGGTTGTGTTAAGCTACGGTCTAAGTGAGACCTCATTTAATTAACCGGTCAGACCAATAGGCGATAAATTTGAAAACGGCTTGTTTTCGTGAAGGAACACAGTGTGTTCCTTGACAATATCGAGTTCATATCGTTTTTCATGTCCACAATGAAACTGCGCTACCTCGGGTCCAAAAGTTCTCAGGTATAGTTAGAGTATGTGAAATTAATTGAGCCGGGCTCAGCGTTGGTTTCGCCGTCCGTCATTTTCAGATGTGTCCAAGTCCGACAAAATGTAAACTCCGTTTTAGTGTAAAAAGGAGCTTAATCCAGACGGGAGAGAAAAGGCCTATGTTTTAATAATGTAGATGGCGTATAAATAAAAGCTGCGATTGACAGGTGCGATTAACCTTGAAAATCCGTGCAATTGACGGTTTGAGTGGAATCCTTTGTATTGGCCGTTTGCTTGTTATATTCCTCTGTTTCCTTTCGTGTTGCGTGAGGTTACTTTTTGTGAGGTAAAAAATGACTTTGTTGATCAGTTTTCATTATCGAGGGATCAGAACTTATAACTTAAGTAGCTTTCATTAAAATGGGCACACTTTAGGACTTCATAAACAGACTCAAAAGTTAGATCCATCTTGAACAGTTTAAATAATAGTGCTCAGTGTACCGGTAAGTACCTCTCAGCAATTTTCATTTGAATAGTCGCACTTAGGATTTTATCCACAGCCCAATTAGTTAGAACCACATTGTACAACATAATAAACAGCACAACTAAATGCAACGCATTTATCCTTTCTTGTTACCTTACTTGCACTAGCTTGAAAGTCCATGCTTATGCATGCAAACCTGTAAAACATTGTCCACACAGAACTAAGTTTACCCCTTCAGAAAAGAGAGAATCTAAACATTTTACGCGCGACCCGCGACCCGTGACCCGCGACCTGCGACGATTAGACACTGTCTTCACAAAATTATCCAGTCTCGGAAGACTGTTACTTATACATGTGTTCAAGTTACAAGTTCTCGTGTTGGTGGACGAAATCTACAAAAATTTAAACCTGAACGTTCTATTTTGAGGTGTGGACAAGTTTGCATAAATTAATTACATGTCTCCATATTTAGCGTGTTCACAGACCCAGCGCAAGGGGGTAGTGGTGGGGGAAGAAGAAATATATCTTTCTCGCTCGCTCGCCTCGCTCGCGAACTCGCCAATGTTTTAGAAAAGAGCAAAAAGAAAAATAAAACAAAGTCTGTGTACAGGTTACTCCATATTTGACTATGGTAGTGATATTAGGGAGTATTGTACATTGTAGTTTTGAACAAGATCTGATTATTTCCTGGTTACAAAACAGAGAAAGGCTGAAAGTAGCATATTTACGTTTTACGTTGTTATTAAAATGCCTGCGGAGGGAGCTGGAGTTTGATGGAGGGAAGCAATTTTACACGTGTATATATTTGCTGGGTAACTTTTAATTATATTTTGAGTAATATGGAAAAGCAAGGCAAAGTTCCTCCATTGATTTTTTTTTTTTTGAAAACGGATATCTCTGTCAAACCCCCAGGACAAATATTGAGAATTGGTCCCTGGGATGATAGATGACGTCATTTTGCATTTGACGTCATTTATAAGAAATGCGGACACCTACGTATATAGCACATAAACAGTTCATGAGCCACATTATTGCTTAAATCCAGAATTTGTGAGGAAACGTTCAATGTCAACAGTAGCTCAAACAACGCAAAATGTTTGAAATTTTATGGTCGGAAAGTCAAGTCTACTGAGAAAAAGCAGTTTTGGCGATTATCCGGAAGATGTCATACTCTAATCTGGAGACCGGGAGATACGGTTCAAAATCTGGAGTCTCCTGGATTATCCTGGAGGGTTGATAGGGAGGGTTTACACTGGATGTAAACCACAAAAACGAGTCGCAATGAATCTTGAATTTTGCTCCCTTAATTCCTCCTGCGACAACTATGATAAATGTCAATTCAAGTTATTTTAGAACATGCTGAGTCATGATAATGGTCGTATTGCTCGCATATTTGGCTGGTTATAAACTCAGTGGTCTCTCACGTACCTGTCTCTTGTTTTCCATCATTGTAGTATCGTTTTCCAAGTCCTTACGAATAATATTACGTATTATTTGATAGGTAATCAGTGACAAACAGTGACTAAGCGTCACTGACAAATCCAAATGCAAAACTGTTCAAAAAATGCGACTTAGTCTAAATATTTGTGGTTTCACCACTCCCGTTTGAAAAGAACCGCAATATATAAATTATGGACAGAACGCTTTGTTGGGCCACATAATCATGAAATTATTCATAATGGTAATAGGACTGAGTGGAGTCTAATTCGGTCTAAAATCATACGAGTGATACGGATTAACGCGTGCGCGTCCAATTTGCCGGCTTAATCACGAGTGGAACGAGTGTGATTGCAGACTGAATTGGACGACCCGAATTGCCGTTATTTACCAGTTAATGATAACTGAGTTATTCAGTTATGATTAGTGGAAAAATCTGTAAATAAATCTTTTGCTTAGGCGAGGCTGATCCAAGTCCCTTAGCCACTGAAAAGTCAGTGCGGCATCTCTTAATCCTAACATATCTGACTTATGGTTACTTCACGACTGTCATAAAACTTTTCAAGTTTTGTAATTTAACAAATTTTTCTTTGACGTATTGCTTCACGCAAAAAAGTACGTGAAGAGCCTACTGAAAAAAGAAGCATTTACAACTTTGCCAGGATTATTTTGTCCAACATGTTTGTCACTCCTTCCGATTGACAGACTTGTAGTGCTTTTGAACACTATTCCGGTGACGTTTTCATCGTAAGTCAATGTGTTGTCTGAATACCATCCCCAGATCTCTGGCTAAGGGCACTGGCGGTATCGTTTCTCGACGTTAGATGGAATTATCAGCCATTTTCTTTCACATTTGACGTGTTTGAACGTATTTCAAGCAGGAGGAGTTTGTCTTATCGGGATTTGTAAAGACACTGTCTGCGCCGAGTTAAAATCTTCGGTAAGTCTGTAGTTAGGTGGGCAGTGGCATCATTTGCATGCTTTAACTGGACGGAAGAAGTAACGTCTGCAATCATCAACGTATAATTCTAGAAGGTAAATTTCTGAAATACATGACAGTTAAAAGATGACAGCATCGGGAAAATAATTTTAAAATAATCATAAGAAATGATTATCTTCGAAAATGAAGTAGGACATGTATATATTAACCTTGTCCATGTAATTTGAAAGAGACCGATAGAGAATGGAACAAAAAGACACAGTGATCTTCAACGCCCCTGCCCTCCTGCCCCCCCCACCCCCGACAAAAATTCTTACCAAAAACTAAAGCTTAAAAAGTCGTGCACTGGATCTTTATATTTTAAGATTCTTCTTCTTTTTTTTTTTTTGGCCTCGCTCCCTCTCCTTAAATAGTTCCTTAAATATAGTGGCTCGGCTTTTTCTTAACACAGGATCTATGTATGATAATTTAGGAGGGTGGGAAAAAGGAAAAATATATCCGGGTCAGTGCGCATTTTTAAACTAAACGTTCAATGGATAAACATAGACCGAGAGGCGTCTTAGATTCCGCACATTTCGACTTCGCTTGCACCTTCTAAAGAGGAGCTCCCTACTGAACAGAATTTCTTCGTGCTACCAGACAGTAAGTATAGAAAATGGTGCCAAAGTAATTAAGCGTTTCAAAAACCGCTCTCAGTTTCAAATGTATAGATCAAGTGACCGATGGAGGGAGGGAAGCACGATTGGGCTATATATAATCTTGTGGTAGAAATGATCGACTTCGTGTCTCACACAGTTTTCAATCCCTGGTCTTTTCAAACGGCGTCGTCCCGCAATTTTCTTCTCGATAGTTAATTAA